TGTGATAAGAACCTATCATTCTTACTTCCTCCTAGACTCACAAAGGATAAAGAATATTGATGTTTCATGGAGCTTTACTCTTCTTTCATTTATTTAGCACATTACAGGTCCCCTTTACTTGCTGTTCCTCATATTAATGAATCCCAACAGATCAAATCAAAGGCAGATGCACCCAAGCTGTCAAGAGGTAAACTACATTACACCCTTGCTGATAGTCCACCTGTCTGCAAATGTCTAAGGAAGAGGCCTTCCAAACCAAAGAAAGGCGAAGGGTACTCAAAGGGTATTTCCTAGGCACCAGGGTCAGCAGAACCCTTCTCTGGCAGAGCTTGCTAAAAAGGAAGGAATCAAAGGATTCCACAACTAAACAATACTTTAAATTCTTCCACCATACATTTTTTAAAAGGGGCACATGAATTGTGAAATATAGCCTCCACTAATGCGATTACCATACTACTAAAATCATTTCTTTCTATAGACTCCCACCATGTAGTCTTTTAGTGACATGTTAATATCATTACAGTTTCAGCAAATATTAACATTTTTGGAAAAAAAAGCCCAAGTAAAAATTTGTTCAAAATTATATTGCTAGAGTTTAAGTGGTTCTTTAGTGGAATATCTGACCCCAAGGTAAAAAAACAATAGCCAACATCTATTCAATGTTTACTATTACCAGGAACCATGCTAAGTACTTTATGTGAATTTTATTAAATCCCACAATAAGTATGTCAAGCAGGTGTTATCTTTGTCGTATAGTTGCAACTGATGCTTAGATGAATAAACTGACCCAAAGCATCTGTTTGATCTTCAGGATTAGTTCCCCTCTGGGCCAGGTGCCTAGTCAATGATACTTGATAAATGGCCTAGCGCACCAGGAAATACGGGTAGGAAGCAACAGCAGGAATTCTCTTTGACCTGCTTTTGTAATAAACACTCCAGTGGACGGACATTAGGTTCCTCTTATAAGTCCCCTCAAAATTCATATATTGGAGTCCTAACCCCCAGTACCCCATAATGTGACCCTACTTTAAAGACAAGAGTCTTTAAAGAGGTAATTAAGTTAAAATGAGATCATTAGGGTGGGCCCTAATCCACTATGACTGGCGTCCTTGTGAGGAAATTCGGACACAGACACAGCAGAGAAAAGACAGTGAAGCCAGTGAAGACACAGGGCGAAGACAGCCATCCACAAGCCCAGGAGAGAGGCCTCAGAAGAAACCAAGCCTGGCAACACCTTGACCTCGGACTGTCAGCCTCCAGAACGGTGAGGAAGTAACTGCTGTGTAAGCCCCCAGTATGTGGCCCTTTGCTGTGACAGCCCAAGCAAACTCATACAGTTCCTGTGTCACACCCGCTTACATGCCACAGAGCTCAGAGTTCAGTGACAGGTACAGGGCATAGCTCACCCACGCTGTGTTTTAGACTGTCAATGACATCTGTTCAAATAAACTTATGTTCCCATCTCACTAGGTGAGAATAAAAACTTGTGCATTAATATGTAGAGAATAAGTAGGAGGGAAACAGGAGTGAGAAGGAATTTAAGTACGGATGTTTTATTCCCCTCACCCTCTGCACCCGGAGGGGCGCACCTTAAGTCTCGTCAGTTCTAACACCTCCCAGGAGCACGCCTCCCATCGGACAAGCTGATGTGTGGCCAGAGCAAAGGTTTAATGGAGCACAGGGAGGGGAGGGCTGAGGCACCTGGGACAGAGGGTGCAGAACGGGCAAGCGAGAGAGGAAGACGGATGGGAAGGACCAGGAGCTTGGACAGAGATGCACGGTGAGGGGGCTGCAGTTCTCTGTGAGGGCGACGGAGGAAGGCAGAGGGGGCCCAGGAATGGTTTCCTTTTGCTTCCTGACCACTGCCTTTCTTAAGAGTCAAACTTGCTAGTGATGTGACAAGAGAAAATGAAAAGTCCAGAGATTAGTAAAATTTAAGACACTTTTCTTGCTTTTTTGTTTATATTGTTTCTCCAGTTTATTCCCCACCTGTCCCTCTTCCAAAATATTCTCTTCAATAGGTACCCCCACTGACTGCTAACCATTTGTTTTTGGTCCACAGAAAGGCAACCGGTGCAAGGAAGGGAAGTGCATGTAAACAGAGGCCAACCGCAGGAGGCGATCATACTTCACAGCCTCCTACATGCCCACACCAGCACTGGGCCACACACTCCCATGCTAGTAACTTATATTTGTAAGTGCCGTGGAAGGTAACTTTTGGGGCTGCTCTGGCTGCCCCTCCTACCTAGAGGGGTGGGCTTCTAGAACATGTTTGAACTCTGTGACCAGGAAGGCCCTTAGCCCAAAGTGGCCATATGAGTCTCTCTCCTAAGGATCTGAATTAGACGTACTACTCAATCCTTGATGGCTAGTTAGTCTGGTGATTGTAGGGGACATCAGATGTTCGTTGGAGGGCTGCAGGCACCATCTAAGAGCAGGAATTTTGTCCTACATACACAGAAACAGACAGAGCCAAAAGAGGAGACACAGAGGGAGAAGTGGTACTCAGAGACCACCTGTCCCCAAAGTGTAAACTTAGAGCCTGTTAAACTTCTATTTCTTGGTTTTGGTCCCTTGGGTTCCTAATAAAGATTTGTTTTGCATTACGTGATAGTCTACATTCACAACCTGAAAAGCCTTGATAAGATAGTGGTAATTTATCAAGTGCCTTCAGGTATCTCATTGAGACAATACCCTACAGGAGAGAAAAGATGGCAGGCAATTTCACTCATTTTACAGCTTACAAAGTAGAGGCTTAAATGCACTGTGGCCCCAAGGCACTGGCCTCCTGCCATGCAAGCCCTGTGAAGTCCCCTCCCACACTGACTCCGGGCTTGTCTATGTGACTTCCTTGGCCAATGGGTACTGGCAAGCTCGGTGACACAGCAGAGGCTTGATAAGCCCCTGCACACTGGGACTTGTCTTCCTTGCACCCAGACACCACCCTGAAAGGACGTCCATGTATCCAGGAGAGGGAGGAAGGGAGGGAAAGAAGGGGAGAGGACGGGAGAGAGAGAGGGAGAGGGGAAGAGAAGGGAGAGACAGAGGGAAGGGAAGAGAGGGAACCCAATGAGAGGCTCTGGGGGATGAGACACATGGACAGAGATGCCACAGGAAGGACAACCAAAATGCCCCAGGCAAACCTCCAGCCCAGGAGGCCAGTCAACAGAAGGAAAGGGAGGGAGGGCTGCTCACAGTCAGTCCACAGATCATTAGATATTATACATTGCTGTTTTAAGGCACAAACTTACTTTTACTCATGATAAAGTAAGAGATAAATCAAACAGATGTTAAATAACTTCCTCTATATCTCAAAGCTAATAAATAAAGCTTGAATACAGGTCTCCTGACTCATTTCAGTGAATTATTCACTGCTCCAAGATGTGACTAAAACTGAAGAAAAATCACTCAAAAGTTTCCTGTGCTTCATTTAAATAACATAAAATGCATTTTAGCTCAGAACACTCAGCTATGAAATTATCCTGTCAGCATATAAATGAATTTAAAATATATGCAAGTAAATGTGGACAGGTAGGAGAGTGTTACTAAAATACTTTGCATGGTTACACGTCTAAATGCTTTTCTTCTTATATTAAAAGAATTAAAAAACTACCCAGTGACAGGAAAAAGGAAAAAATGTATATATTCATACAAAAGTGAAAATCAGTAACTAAAGTTTCATATATCAACATGGGTAAATCTCAAAAATATCTGGGGAGAAAAAAAGTATAAAAATACAAACAGCTTAATATCATTTATATTAAAAATTCCCCAAAACACACCTCAGCAATGTATTGTTTAGGGATACATATGTAATAAAGCAATAGTGCAAATCAAGGGAATGATAAATACAAATTCAAAGTATGTTCTCTTGAAGGGGAAGAAGCAAGCACACTTGGAAAAGGCCACAGGTTTCCAAAGACACTGTTCATGTTTCATTTCTTAATTTGGCTGGCAGATGTGTGTTTTGCATAACGTATACCATACATCTGTGATAAACAACTTTTTTGTCTCTAAAATATTTCGTAACAAAATCAAATTTTAAAAACAACCAAAGAATCTAGCAAAGGAAAACTAGATTGTCTCCAGCAATACGTGCTTTATAATATACCAAAATCAATATAGCTCCTAAATGCTCGATAATTTTATTCTGAAAGAATAAAAACAGGCACAGTACAGAGTAACTGTGCCCCCAACTACATGGTAATAACAGTAAGGCTTCCTGTAGTTCGTGGCTCATACTAAAATGGATGCTAAAGGAAAAGCAGGTATATAGTGCTTATATTAAGCCCTTTTCAGGATTTTCTGGAACTTGACTATATCACATCAATTCTCTCACCAACAAAACTCCCTCTGAACCCCGGCACAGGTGCCTGTCCTTCCAAGAGAGGGCCTGGTGCACAACCTAGGCCTTCCATCCGTTTGCTGCCTGGGAAGGGTGCCTGGAAGACAACACTGTGCAGCAAGAGACCCGTACTTTTCCCAGCCAGAATTGACTGGATCAGGAAAGGACAGCTGACCCAATCCGACCAGTCATGATCTGCCACATGCCGACTTCTGCAGTTTTATTCCCATCCTCTCCCTTGAAATCAGTGTAGTTGCTGTATCTTTCCATCAGAGCACCTACCACAATTGTCAATTATACATTTATTTCAGTGATTACTTACCGATGTATGTCTTCCCTCCTAAACTGTAAGCTCCATAAGGGTGAGAATGGGTCAGTTCTTTCTCACTGTGTTCTACCAACTAGCGTAGTTCCTGATATACTACAGTATGCATTCAATATGTTTTCTTTTTAAAGAGGAAGAAAAGGTTGTAATATTACCTCCCTTTTTCTAAAGATTTGTATTTCATGAAACTTACATGGCAATACATCCATTTTAGGCCGACTCAAAGTTAAGGCAAAGGAATCAAAGCCATATAGAATCTATATTTATCCTCAGAGGACATCACAGTGCCACATTAAATTTGACAAACTGAAGGAGTTCACAGAAACATACCTGAATGAAGTTGAATTTTCCCAATAACACCTTCTACCAATCCCAAACAAATGGGATTCCAGGCAAGAAGTAGATCAGTAGCTAAAACAAAATAAGAAGCAGTCATGAGAAAATATTCATCAGAAAACCTTATTAAAACAGTATCTTTAGCAGTGTATTAAAAAATTATCAATGTCCCAAAGGGCACTTACGAACATTGAGAACTGATACATTACTATAAAGCAACGTGTGAGAAAGTCTTAAATCCGAGGACTGAATAAGGCTTCTGATAAAAGAACAGTTACAGGGAGAGAACCCAATAGTCTGAAACTGCATAGACGGAGGCAGTACTTTGGCGCCCTGCAGTGGAAGAAAGAGGCTGCTACACTACAAGAGGGCAAAGAGGAGTTACCTGCCATCCTACTGCCATAGCCAGTCCCAACAAGGCCTGGGAAGTTGCCACAGGGATGTCCACTTACTGGAGCACACTCTGAAAAGAACCCTTTCCCAAAGAAGCTTAAACCAAGCAAACCCAGAAAGCCAATGCTCTTTTATGTGACTTCTATAGCCAAAACAACAGGAACCGTCTCTATTTACTTAGCACCTACTATGTGCCAGGTATCCCAATAGGGATTCCTTACCTGAACCACAAAACAGAATGATTTTTGAGTGACTGTTTTCTCAATTCTCCCAATGATGGCACATAACTGGTACCATTCTAGATGAATAGGCAAGAAGTCATTTCAGTATACACAATGGATGCCTGAGGACATTAGAGCTTAATTCCCTTGTGGAACCCAAGTTGCAAAAGGCTGTTATGTATACATGGAAATAAATGTACATTAGTTGTCATTCAATAGCTGGACAAGATGAGCAAGAATGAGAACATATTTCTCTTGACAGAAAACTAAAATTACATTTTAATTACCACTTAGATTTTATTTTAGTAAAATTTTAAATCAATCTGTAATTCATGGGGTAATTACAGACTTAATAGTCTCCAAATTCATTTGAGTTTTGACTATTATATCTTGAACGTCTTTTTTGTTAATGATATACTCAGTGGGAGGCAAAAATAAAGTTGGCTTCTCTTTGTTTTTAATACAAGAATCAAAGTAAGATAATTAATTTTTTTAAAAGCCGGTACAACGTATTATCATTTCTAATCCTTACAGCTCTGAGTCATGTTTTAGAAGTCCTATTCTACAGATGAAGAAAGGGAGCCGTAGAAAAGTTACATGGTCATACAGTGGGTCAGCGGCAGAGCTGCCGTTCAAAGCCAGGTCTGCATGACTCACCTGGGCTCTCAACCATTCTGCTACAGTACCTCCCTCAGGACCTTACTAGAACTAATTCAATAAAACAATATTTCCATTTTAAATAACATGCATTGTTTTATAAAAGCAATACCGTGTAAAACTGGGAAAAGTATTTCATCACTCCTATCCCACACCTCAGGAATAACATTATTTTGCTGTATTTCAGGTAAGATGTTTGTGTGCATACCTGATTGCAATACTGCAAATATCACATTATATGCCAAATTTTTCTTATAACATCTCATGAGTATTTTCTCATGTCTTTAAAATATTCTTTAAACTTAAAACTTCACGGCTGCATAATTTTCCATGAAAGGAAGCACTTCCTCACTCTTGGGCATGTGATTTCCAGTTTTCCCCTACGATAAAAGTACTGTGATGAATGACAATTGTCATGCAAATATTTTATTCACCTCTGTAATTAATAGCTTTAGGACAGATTCCTAATGAAATTAGTAGGTGAAACAAAATTTTAAAGCTTCCAAGTATTACCAAATTGCTTTCTACCAAGGTTATATACCAAGTTAGATTTCTGCCAGAAGCATATGAAAATGCTTAAAGTCTTGCCATCATTTAGAATTTAACTTTGCTTATTTGATGGCACTCATTGCCTAAATATGTTTCTCTTCATTGCTGACAAAATTAAATATAAAATTGGCTACTTGTGTTTTTTCTATGATTTTCTTATTCATATCATAACCATTCTTCTTTACATTCCTTATTGATTTGAGTTATTTTTATATTAAGGAAATCAACTCTTTGACATGCTTGCAAAATTTTCCATTTTTAATTTTTATACAAATCTGTTTTACCTTTATGCTTAAAAAGTTGTTTACCCAGTATCAGTTAACTATTAATTTTACGTCTTTGTCAATTTTAAAAAATCTAAGTGTAATTTCACTAGAATTCATGTTAGTGTACAAACTAAAAACACCCTGATTTCTTTTGAAACAGTGAACCAAAATCCCTGTATCAGGCAGGCCAAGTTGTAACCCTGGACTCAGACCACAGTTGTAAGACTACCCCTTGGGTACCAAATGAGCTCTAGGAATATGGAGGAGGAAGAAAAAGTCAGAGCTAAAGCAGTCAAGGTCACACAGCTACACAGAAGAAATGGAACTTCAAACATAAGGAAAGTAGTGTGAAAAAAATGCAGAGGCAAGTGCATTGTTCTGGAATTTGTCCCTTCATGAGAGAAACACTTACCAAGTACCTGCCAGGAACCAGGCACTGTATCAGGCTAAGAAGATACACAAATAAAGGAGCAAACAGTCTGCAACAGAAGACCAAAGCGTACAGTGGATATCTAATTACTAAGACGGGAAAAAGTAAACTGAGGCCAATTGTGGAGAGAGATGAATTAAAGACTAATGCACCTGCCGTTCCTGGAGACCATGGCAGGCAGATCATGTCATAAGTAAAACAAGACTGCAGCCAGGGGTCAGGTGACAGCACTAAAAGGAGGTGGAGGCTGAGGGAAGAGAAAGGAGCTAGAATGTTTATATGTATCTGGGCTTGAAAGGACTTGGAGCTACCCTAGCTTGGGGAGTGGCGGGGCGGTAGGTGGAGAACGCACAGGAGATTAACACAAAACCCCTCAAAGGAATCTATATAAAGGACAAGAAGACAGTAAAAAAATTGACACTGAAACATCTATTCTCTCCTGAGTGGGAGAAGATGAGGACATGGCCAAGAGGAGCAGGAGGGAGCAAGGCAGAAAGGACGGGGTACGGCAGCAGCGGGGAGGCAGGTGGGTGAGAACCTCCTAACTCAACACCCTTTTTTATATTTGGAATTTTGAACCTTGTGAATGCTTCAGCCATTCATTAAAACAGAATTTTAACTTAAAAAATAAACTAGGAGAAGCTATCCAGATGACCAGGTTTTGTGTTCTGATGACTAAAATTAATAGTCACTGATAATCTTTGAGCCACACAGAGAGAAGCAGTTAAACCCACTATGGCTGAGGTCATGATGGGATGATCAAGGAGAAATAACTAGATGTAAGAACCAAAGGAGGTATTAGAGGACAAGAAAACAGAAGACGATAAAATCAAAACCACAGGTGTAAAAATTAGCCTTGGCAATAAAGGATACCGCTTTCCTCTAAGTCTGGAAGAAAAGATGAAAGGCTATGGAGAAATGGAGAAGAGAAGCAGATGAATGCTTTCGAGAGCCTAGACTCGGTAAAAACAAGAGTCGAAGTCATCTCAGCATGAGCAGGGGAAGGACAGAAGGGCCGCAGAGGGGCACCCGGGGCTTGACTTGGGGGGAAGGGGGAATCCAGAAAGTCAGTTTCTAAAGTGTGCTTGAAAAGCATGTATATTTTTTTAAACTCAGACTTTTCAAGAAAAGGGGTGTCAGTCCATTAATGGGTCATGAAATCAATTCTGTAAATGAGATCAGCACTACCAGCAATGAAAGAGAATAAAACAGGAAAATTGTACCAAGAGGAAAAATACCACGAAACTTTCCTTTTCTGACACATACACCTATGCATGCAGTCACCAAGTCACGATTTAAAAAGTGTTTGTTTTTATGGACCTTAAACATCTGAACACACTAACTTTGGGGCGAGGGATCATTACACCAACTTTGTGGTTATTTTGTTCATCACCTATAGGTACTTGCTAACATTTCTGACTATTTAATTAACTTTTGAGAGAAGGCTGATTTTTAAGTCTCATGCTTTGTATATTTTTTTCCATTTTTTTCCAAATTTTTTCTTTATATGTTTTGAGACTTATCAAACATATAGATTCAGGATTATTGTATCTTCCTGGTGAACTGCTCTATTTATCAGGATGTAATAACTGCTTTTATTTCAAAGAATGCTCTTTGCCATAAAGTCATTTGTCTATCATTAATATTGTGAAAGAAACACATTAAGCATTACAAAGGGATAAACAGGAACATTGCTAATCCGATTGTATTACTTCTCCTACTCCCCACAGGCTTAGGGATGAAGTTTAAATTCCTTGAAAAGATTTATAAGGCCCTGCACGGGCTGGTCCTGTCCAACCTCCTCCAACCTCCCTCCCCCCAGTATCCTATTCTTTCAGTCATCCAGGAGTGTGCACAGGCTGGGTCTGGAATGCTGCTCCCCACCCACTTCTGCCTGCTTTTCATTCCAGCCACTGCTGTTCCCTGACACATTCCCCACTCCACCCATTCAGTAGAAACCACTCGCTTTTGTGGCCCTCCCAAACTCTGCTCATATTTCTATCATGGCACCTTATTTTGGTTCAGTGCATCTAATTATTTACTTGTCTGTCTCCCTAACTGAGCAGGAAGCTTATTGAGACCTCATCACATTTAGTTTTATGTCTCCAGTGCATGTACACAGCAGGCTCCAAAATGCTGAATGGACAAATGGGCAAATGGTACAGGAATGGAGAGGCAAGCTGAAGTCAGCTAATTTGCACTAAATCACATCCAAAGGTTTCACTAATCTGAAGTGGCAAAATTAAAGTCATCCGGTGCATGTGAGACAAAGACCTCAGGGCTGACAGAGATAAAGTTACTACCCAATGCTACATAGCTTGTCAAAATCAAAACACCATTTTGCACTCTCAGTCCAGGGCTCTTTCTAACATATCTCTAACACTCTAAATTTCCCTACTAAATGTTCTTGGGTGTAATACTCTCATTTTACATTTATATGGGGCTTTCAGCTCCCAACATCATTCCAGCTGCACAAGCCAGAACCCAGGAGACATCCAAAATGCTTTTATTCCTCACCAAGTCCTATTGATGCTTTCTCCTCAGTATCTGCTGAATGTT